TCCTGGATGAAGGAAAGAGAAGGAGCAGCCATCTTGCCTCCAAGCCAAGTCTCAAGTGAACGAATTCCACTGCAGGCAAGGTTTTGATGAGACAAACTTGGTGACAGGGCTCTCTGCTTTACATAAGGACTGAGGGGGAGAGAACTGACAGCTCCAACATCTCCTGAGCCCTAGGGCAGTCTTATCCAGAAAGCAGAAAACAAGTTGTCAGTCCCACAAAAGCAACACAAATGGAAATATAGCAAGGGGGGAGCAGCTGGAGGTTGAGAGTATAAGAAAAGCAGAGCAAAGGGCCAAGGCACTCTGCATGGACTCAACCCCTCAATGCCAAGTGCTGTTGGCTAATTAATTGGCCTTAGTCTGCCACAGGGTAAGTTTTCATCTTCTTCTTCTGCCTACACATTTATTTCTGAGAATGCCTCCCCTCCCCTTTCCCTCTGTCAACCTCTCCTCACGTGGGCTGCAGAAAAAAGGATGGGAGATCTATACCATTTTAGACAAGTGACTGTCCTCTCTCTTCAGAGGTGGGTTCCTACCAGTTCGCACCTATTCGGTAGAACCGGTTCGTCAAATCTACCGAACTGGTTAGAAGAGGTTCCACCAGTGGACCCGGAAAGCAGGCCACACCTACAGAAGAGGTTCCAAAAATTTTTGAAACCCACCACTGCCTTGGAAAGTTTGTGATCAATGCCAGATTGGAAATCTATTCCATGGGAAGACTAAAATTAATTTTATGGAGATTGGCTCTAATAACAGAATCTTCTATTGTCTACTTGTTCTATAGCTCCTCTACCTCCTTATTGTTCAATTGAATTAGAGAGTGTCTATCTAAACTGTTTTGAAACATTAAGATAAAGGTTCCCGTCGCACATATATGCTAGTCATTCCCAACTCTAGGGGGCGGTGCTCATCTCCATTTGAAGAACCAGCGCTGTCCGAAGACATCTCTGTGGTAATGTGGCCGGCATGACTAAACGCTGAAGGTGCATGGAACATTGTTACCTTCCCACCAAAGGTGGTTCCTATTTTTCTATTTGCATTTTTACATGCTTTCAAACTGCTAGGTTGGCAGAAGCTGGGACAAGTAATTGAAGTTCACTCCATTACGCAGCGCTCGGGATTTGAACCGCCAAACTGCTGACCTTTCTGATCAACAAGCTCAGCATCTTAGCTACTGAGCCACCGTGTCCCTTTTTGATCAATACCAGACTGGAAATCTATTCCATGAAAAGACTAAAATTAATTTTATGGAGATTGGCTGTAATAACAAAATCTTCTGTGTCTACTTGTTCTGTAACTCCTCCACCTCGTTCAATTAGAGATGTGTCTGACCTGACTAAACTGTTTTGAAACATTATCTCATTGTAAAAACATTTCAACCATTTTTGACTAGGCAACAGATCCTGTATATTTCCATCAAAATCATCTTCCTGACTTCCTATAAGTACATATGATCAATTCCATTCACTGGCTCCAGGCAAATTGTGTGCTGCTCATTGTGCTTCTAGCTAAAGCCTGCAAGCCCTAGATGCTTAGCTATAAGGCAACATGAGTCCCATGCCAAAAATGATTCCTATCTGTCAAATCTTGATGGTATGTGAGCTCATGACCAGGAAAAGAAGAAACACTGTGTGTAAAAGTTTCTGAGATTCTCCCAGTGACTCCAAACTCCTACCAAGGCCATAGCTGTTTTGCAAGGTGTTATGACTAACCAGGTGGCAGAAACTAGCTGACAATGGCTGATCTTGAAAAAGAAAACCAGACTGGTGATTGCTAGTGTTTAGATGGCATGACCTAGCTCAGTGTTTCTCAACTTTGGCAACTTGAAGATGTCCGGACTTCAACTCCCAGAATTCCCCAGCCAGCATTTGCTGGCTGGGGAATTCTGGGAGTTGAAGTCCGGACATCTTCAAGTTGCCAAGGTTGAGAAACACTGACCTAGCTGAACCTGGCTGATTTGACAAAGTAAATGGTTGAATGGATTAGTGATCAGTTACAGGTAAACATGCTCCTGACTGTGGAAATTTAGGTTTAGGGACAATATATTATAATCAAATATTTGTATTTTTGTATTTATTAGTTTGTCAAACATGTATAAAATAGTAGGTATAAATATAAGCATGGACATGAACGAAAGAAATGAATACAAATAAAAGGGGACAGTAGGACAGGGATGGTAAGCATCGCTGATGCAGTTATGCACAGCCCTTTTACAGACCTCTTAGGAATGGGGTGAGATCCACAGTAGACAGTTTAAGGTTGAACTTGTGAGGGTTAGAGGATGTAACAATGGAATCAGGTACAGTATTCCAGGCATTGACCACTCTGTTGCTGAAGTCATATTTTCTGCAATCAAGTTTGGAACAGTTTACTTTGAGTTTGTATCGATTGTCTTCTTGTGTGTTATTGGGGTTGAAGCTGAAGTAGTCATTGACTGGTAAGACATTGTAACAGACTGTGCTTAGATCATACTGCAGGCGTCGCAGTTCCAGATTGTCCAAACCCAAATTTTCGAGCCTGGTGGAATAGGGAATTCTACTGCGAGTAGTGGAGGGGAGTAATCTTCTTGTGAAGTATCTCTGGACGCACTCGAATTAATCATATTAATGTCCGATATACAGTGTGGATTCCAGGCAGATGAGCTGTGTTCGAGAATTGGTCTGGCAAAGGTTTTGTATGCCCTAGTTAGGAGTACAATGTTACCAGAGAAAAAGCTTCACACAATTAGGTTAACAATTCTTAATGCCTTTGTGGCAATGCTGTTATAGTGAGCTCTGGGGCTTAGATCGTTTGAGATGAGTACTCCTAGGTCCTGGACAGAGTGAGGATCATTTCGAGGTGATTTCCACCCAACTTATATTTGGTGTTCTCATTTTTATTGCCAATGTGTAGGACAGAGAAATTTCTAGTACAAAGAAGTTGAAATAAGAATTTATGCAATAGAAGGAATAATAAGGGTTAAAACCAAAGTATTCTAAGAGATAGGGCATATTCAGCTGGCCACTACAGGCAACTGGTGGACTCTGGTTTTAGAAGGAGGTTGGAATTTTTCTTAAGGACCTGTCAGGCACTTTGGTCAAAATCTTGGCTGCAGCCAGAGAAAGGCATGTAACAATGGCCCACAATCAGATTGCTCCTATGAAACCACCTTCTGTATGCCAATCTAGAGATGTTCTTTGGTTTTCTGAGGAGCTCTAACAGGTGAAATGCCAGAAACAATGCCTGGAGTGCTGTTGGAGAAAGACAAAGAATGTATCTGATCAAATACAAGCAAGAGCCCACATTAGGGCCTACATCATGGTGATAAGAGTGATGAAACAATGCTATTTCTCTGCCTTTATTGCATTTTCCAATAGCCTTCTAATGGCCCTGTTTAGGATGATCCACAGCCTCTATGGGGGGAGGGGGGCTTGGGCCATAGGAAGTGTACCTAGGATCTAGGAAGATTGGCACCTCCGTTGTGGTCCCCTCAATCCTCTAGAGAATCACATGCTTCCAAAGATTACAACAGCACCCTCTTTTGGATTTGGGGGGGGGGGTTGCAGGACTGGGGTTGATATTATTTGTTCAATGGCCTCTGTTTTCTTTCGATGCTTTTGCTGTCCATTGGATTATTTTAGTCTGGACTGCATGTATGATGCAAAGGTTTTAGCTGTTTTTATGTTTTCCCTACTTCTGTACACAATTCAGCATCCATTTCAGTTGGGCAGCTAATAAATTTAAATAAGTAAATAAGTGTGAGAGTGCACACAGTGTGACTATTTTGAGACAACCCAGGAGCAAAATACAGTAAGCAGAAGTTTGTTTTTCAAATAGTGGTTATCTACAAGGAATATATACATACATGTACTAGGCAAATCATCAACTATAGTATGGAAGCACACACACAGAGAGATACAACCTCGCAGGGCCTCTCTTATATTACAGCCCCTTAAAGCGGTAGCAGTCAAATAACCCTTCTGACTCATTGCTACCATTGCATCATCGTTACAGCAGCTTGTCAGCTATTAAAGTATCATTACCCTGACAGATTGTAACTGAGGTTGAATAAAAATGATCTCTAAAACTTCTCCATACAGTTTGCAAACCATAATACTTGAATGCAGAAGAAAGAATATTGAGTAGGAAAGGAAGAATTCTCGAGTACTTCAGAAACTATGCAAACCTGAATCCAAACATGGCTTCATTGTATCCTGAACCACCAGCCTGAAGAAATAAATATTCAGGGTTGATT